GACAGTAATACTCGACGGGGTCAGCAATAACGGTGAGTAGTGACAGTAATACTCGACGGGGTCAGCAATAACGGTGAGTAGTGACAGTAATACTCGACGGGGTCAGCAATAACGGTGGGAACGGACGAGAACGCTCGACGGGGTCAGCAATAACGGTGGGAATGGACGAGAACGCTACATGGTTAGTAATAGGACAGTAGTCCACGGGGTAATTTTTCTTTCTAATGCATGTGGGATATGGGTGTTGCTAGGTGGGCCAGCACTTATTTCCTGTACCCAGCTGCCATTGGAAAGGTGGTGATCTGATGCCTTGAACCACTACTGTCCATTTACTGCAAATTGATCCACAATACCGTTAGGGAGGGAATTCCAGGAGCTTGAAGGAACAGTAACACTCCACAGGTAGTAATAACAGTGGGAGGGGACAATAATATTGCACAGGGGTATTGAGGGTATTTAGGGGAAAGTTGGGAGCTATGCAGTGGTTAAATGGTAGAATCCCTACCATGCGGAAAGAGGTCATTCAGACCGAGTCCACACCGAACCCCAAAAACATCCCACTTAGACTTAGCCCCTGACCCCATGTTCTTGACCCCACAAACAACTTCAGAAAGAATTGTTACTGCATATTTAAAGAACGTTTTTCAAAGTAATTTGTGGATTTATTTTGGCTATTCCACCTTACCTTGACATCACTGGACACAATTTAGCATGGTCAATCCACCTAATCTGCACATTTTTGCCCTGTGTGAGGAAACCAGAGCACCCAGAGGAAAGTAATGCAGGCACAGTTACCCTAGGCTGGAATTGAACCCAGGTCCCTAGCGCTATGAGGCAGCAGTGCTAACCACTGAGCCACTGTGCTGCTGTTGAGGGGGTAGGGAATGGGGGAGGCGGTAGGGAACAGTGATGGGGGAGATGGGAATGGTTGGAGAGAGGGTGAGGGGAGAGCAAGGGGTAAATAGAGATTAGGGAGGGCAAAAACTGGAAGGGAAGGAGAGTGAGGTAAGCCGGATATGAAGTGTAAGTGGTGCATGGAGGGCAGATGAAAAGAGGAGGGGGAAAGGGTGCAGTAAGGCAGGTAGGGAGAGAGGGGGCATTAGATGGTCAGGAGGGGCAAAAAATTGAAGATAGAAAAGGGGGAAATGGGGGAGGCTAGGGCAAGATTGTGAGTCTAGAGGGATGGTGAAGGTGAAATGGAAAGGTGGAGAAGGGAAAGATGGGGTGGTTGGAGGTGAGGGGGAGGCTGGGGCAAGGTGAGGGGGGAGGTGAGTGGGAGGCAGAGTTGGGGTCGGGAATGGGAGGAAGTGGGGGTCGGGTGAGGCCAGGGGGTAAGGAGAGAGGAAAATGGGGGAGGCTGTGAGGGGATGGAGGGGAAGACCAGTGTTCAAGGGGGAGGCTAGGGGCGGAAGCTGGGATCAGGGAGGAAAGGTGAAGTTTGAGGTGGGAAACAGAGGGCAAGGCAGATGGTGCAGAATGTCAGTGAGATGGGAGGCAGGAATTGGGAGTTGAGTGGGGGTGGAGTAGAAGGGAATGGTCAGGTGAGGCAACATTGAGGGGGATTAGAGAAGGGGTACAAGGAGAAAGGAGACAGGAAAGAGAATATGGGGGAGGAAGGTGTGGGGAGGGAAGATGGGCAGAGAGGGGTTGGAGAATTTGGTGGGTGAAGCTGATGGTGGTGATGTGGGGGAAGGCAGCGGTGACCCTGCTGGTGGTGGGGAGGGGAATGTTGTTGGTGAACAGAGGAAGGTGCTGATTTGATGCATTCTGGGGAGTGGCGGGTTGGTGTTGAGGGTATTTGGAGAAGTGCAATAGTGTGGGAAAACAAGAGGAATGGTGAGGGTTGGGGTGGTTTGGACGAGTGGTCGGGTAATTGCAGAATGGCGGAGTTGTGTGTTGCTTGGAGGAATATGGAGGTACCTGGCGGGTTACTGTAGGAAAGTGATAGTAGTATAGTTGGTGAGGATGGTGTGTCGTCATGAGAATTCATGGGTCCTTATTTGATATTGAGAACTCCAAGGGAAACGCTTGTTCGAGCTATGCTGCCACCTTTTTCAAATTAGTTTGTGGTATATGAATGTCACTGGCGGTGTCAGAATTTATTGCCCATCCCTAGGTGACCTTGAACTGCTGCTGGTAACCTATAGGAATTTTAAAAATCAAAAACCATTGTAGATTCTCTCCTGTTGGTGTGACACAGCTAACCATGGCGGGGGTAGTGTGTGGGAAATTGTAAGGTGAATGACTTCTTTACGAGTCGAAAGGACAGTTCTCCCGGTTTATTGATGGTAATAAAAATGGCAAGGGGTGCCAAAATGCCAGGAGGAATATAATCCGTAGAAAATGAGGTGGGTTAAGCTCTGTTGTATTAAATGTTATGCATATTTGTATCAGACTCTCTTATGGCTACAAGACTTTATAATCAAAACTTTAACTGCCTTTACCTTGTCACACTGTAGTTACAGCTACTGGAAATGATGCACTGCCATCACCAATAGGAAGTGAAATTAAATTCTCACATCCTATTCTGTTACACCATTCTCATCTCATTCAGCCCCAGTTCCCCCCACCCTTATCTACTCATTTTCTGGTACTGGAGAAATATAATCTATTACAATGCACTTTGTGACTCTTAATAACAAAGGACATAAAATATTGCGCTTCATAGAAATATTCTTTGTCCCTTTAGGTATTTATTGTATGATGTGAATCCACCAGAGGGATTTAATCTTCGTCGAGATGTCTATCTCCGTATGGCGGGCTTAGTGGACACCCTGCTGAAGAGTGAAGACTGGGTGCTAGTTCTTCCTCCCTGGGGGCATCTCTACCATTGGCAGAGCAAAGGTCTTAAACAAGTTCGAATTCCTTGGTCTCTATTCTTTGATGTGCCAAGCTTAAACAAGAACATTCCTGTCATTGAACACGAGCAGTTTATTGCAGGTACCTTTAACTATAACCTGCCTTTGGACATTCTGATTACTCTGAATGTGCTAAGTATGGGACAAATGTAAAAGATGAACATAATCTCACTTCAATGAAAAATTCCGAATTAGTTTGAGTCTGTTTTAATGTTTTATTCAGCATACAGTTCAATTCTTGACATGTTTGGTTCCTCTAAGTTCTTAAATAACGGCATTATCTGCATCTCGGTGCCTGTAATGTAGAAATGGGAGTGTTAATTTTGCAGTTTCAGTATAATTTTAGTTCATTGGCCTTTTTTATATCCCATCTACCATTCTGCTGTTCCCTTTTGATTTAGCCTAATTTTATTGCATGCTTGCTTATTTTTTAATCTGATTGATTAGTCTATTTGTGTGTTTGATTTAGGTTACGTTGCAAGTCAGCCTTTCTGGTTCTGGAATGAAAATACCATCACTCTCCTCATAAACGAAAGTGCAGTCAAAACTGTAATACACTGAAACACCCCGATTGGGAGATGTTAAAATTCTTGGCTAAAGTGAAAGTGATGTGAATGTTTCGGGGTTACAATGCTAGTCTGGGCAAATAGCTGAAGAAAGGGGAAAGGATGAATTTACATAAAAATGAATCAGCCAGTTCATTCGTTCAGGAATGGAACCTGCTGCCCTGGTCTCTTCTGGCCTAGACCTAAGCCCATACCATGTCACTGCTTTTTGATGTCCTGTGATGTCACTTAGCTCACAAGAATGCCAATTATGGCTCTTAAATATAGCCTTATTAGAACAAATTTATAGAATCGTACACCATCAAAGGAGAGTTATTGCCCCTCATGCTTATGCCAATTCTTTGAAAGAGCTATCCAATTAGTTCCACTCTGTGCTCTCTCCCCATAGACCAAAATGTTTTTCTCTATTCATATATATGAATAATGTATATATGAAAAAAAACCCTTTGAAAGTTCCTCTTGTAGCTATTTACATCTACCCTTTCAGGCATTACATTCTGAAGTATAACAACTAGTAGACTAGTGTTTGAAGTGAATGTTCCATTTACACTGAATACATTTTCGAAAGGAAACCAGATAAATACATGAGAGAAATTGAACAGAAAGGCATTCTGAGAGGCTGAGCTGAGATGTGGAGTTCGAAGAGACTTGTACAAAGTATAAACATCAGTATAAATGTATTGGTCTATTCCTGTGCTCTGTATTCTTTGTAATTTGGTTGTCAACCATTTAAAAAGGCTAGCTGACTGGAAAAATATGAATTAAAGCATCACCTCATGACCATTGATTCATGGGTCATGGCTCCATTCTCCAAACACCAACCCCATCAATCCATGATTCCATGAATCATAGAATAATACAGCACCAAAGAGGGCCATTCAGCCTATTATACCTGTGGCAGCTCCTTGAAATGGGTATCCTACTGATCTGTCAAACCTACTCTTGGCCCAGTTGCCCTGAAAATGTTTTCTTTTCAAGCACTAATCCAATTATCTTTTGAAAGGTACTATTGATTCTGTTGTCACTGACTTTCTCATTGCATTTAAGCTTAAATGATGCAGTGTTTGTTCAGTTTTGCTCTGTTTACAGTTTCTCTTTCTCTCTTACTCAGAGTCTGGCGGTCCCTTCATCCAACAAATCTATGTTCTGCAGGG